GAAAGAAATTTTCAATTCCCAACTTGACTCTCACTGAGATTAAACATGACAATAGGTCTGATCTGATTTCATCATCATTTAAAAAAAAATCATCTATTATTTTTCACTTTATGTTTCTGTGTGAGAGCAAACTGTTGAAATCCTTACTTAAGGTATACTAAGCTGATCTTCTGTATATTAAGATAATCGAAAATGAATCTTGATGTGAATGGAAGGGGAGAGGGAGTGGGAAAGGGGAGGGTTGTGGGTGGGAGGGACGGTATGGGGGGGAAGCCATTGTAACCCATGAGTCGTACTTTGGAAATTTATATTCATTAAATAAAAGATTAAAAAAAAAAAGAGAGAGAAACTCCTTGAGAATGAAAGAGTTCATTTCAGATCACGGCTGGGAGATTGCCATTCAGAATCAGGTGCCCCATTTTTGGACAAACCGAACCCCCACCCCCCCACCCCGGCCCTCCTCTTAGTCTCCATAATTAGACTGAGTCTCCATTCTTAGCCAATCAACCATCAGCATGAAGGCATCTGCACGACTTTTGGGGAGATAAGTCCCACTGTACCCATACAACATAGAATTTCTCATTTCAACTAGAGTAAAAGTCTAATTTAGATAAGGCAGAGAGTGGAAAATTTTAAGTACCATATATTTAATAGTTCTGAGATAAAGCAATGGGTGTGTTTCACTGGCATTTGCATGTGTGTGAATGCCCAGTCTGTACTGATTGTGATACAAACCCTGGGGAAAGGGAGTTGGTGAAAACAGGTAAGATTATCCAATGCGAAGCTTGTTTCACAATAAGAATTAGGCCTGTTGCCTTCTGGTTTCTTTTTGGTGTCAAAGATTCTAAGACTCCATTCATTTATTTATTCAGCACTCACAATTTCTGAAATACACAATAAGAACTAGGGGAAATCCAATTATTAATAAGACCTCAGTCAATACCTGTCCTCAAATTGGTCACAATCAAAAATGAATACATAAATTAATCACACCCAAAATACTCAAGTAGAGATGACAATAAAATCCATTGTCCCACAAGGCAAAGATCTATAGGAAGTCTCACTAAACATATGTGGTTCTATATATTGATGGTTATTAGGGTATTGTATTTGAAAGAGCATATTGATGGTTATTAGGGTACCTGTGGCCCAGCGTACTTCTCTGGTCATGTTTGGAAGACAGGGATCCTTGGTGTCAGAATCATTACACACTTTCCTCTTGTTGTACAGTATAAGCACCAAAAGACCAGGAACTGTGTCTGCAGTGCTGTGTTCTGCACTTTGCCTAACCCAGAACCCTACCCAAACTGCCAACTTGTATTTGATTTTGATAACGATAATAAGCAGCAGTGTTCTGTCCCATCAGGTTCATTTCCAACAGTGGTGCCCACTCAATGTCCAAACTTCTGCACCTCCACCATTCACACATTGGCTCTTCGGACCATGAACCCAGCTTCTCCTTGCTTTCCAGGCCTTCTACAACTACCACATCCTGGAATTACTTCAGATGCTGGTGACAGGAGGGATATGTTCTCAGCTGGAGCAACACTTGGATAAAGATAAGCTCTCTGAGCTGCCCGAAAGTTGCACCACATTCTTCTCTGGAAGATCGCGGTGTAAGCTGGGGCTTCTGTCCTTAGACCAAACCATTTTATCAGATATTAAAGTGAGTCTACTCTTATCATAATGCAGTTTCCCATCCCTCCCCTGAGTTTCTGAAAACAGTCCAAACTATCTGGGTTCTTAGACGGCCTATAGCACAGAAATAATAATTAATAATGTATAGAGTATTTTATAGTTCACTATATTATGTTCATAGAATGCTACAATTCACCCATACATTTTCACAGTTTATGTTCACTTTTTACAACAACCCCACGAGGTAAATAGAGCAGTTGTTATTATCCCTATCTTTCTGCAGTAAGCATCAGAGAGGCTCAATAATATGGTTTCAATGTAGTCCCCAAATTTCATGTGCTAGAAACTTAATCCTCAATGCAATAGTTTTGAAAGCCGGGATCTTCAAGAGATAATTTGGTCATGAGGATTCAGTTCTGTTGAATGGATTAGTGTTGTTATCTTGGAAGTGGATTAGTTATTACTGGAGTTGATTCAGGATTAATGATGAGTTTGGGCCCCTTCTCTCTCTCTCTCTCTCTCTCTCTCTCTCTCTCTCTCATGCTTTTCTTGCCCTTCTGCCTTGATATAACAAGACCATTTAACCTTGGACTTGTCAGCCTCCAAAACTGTAAGAAATAGTTCTCTGTTTTGTATACATTACCCACTCTCAAGCATTCTGTTATAGCAGTATAACAAAGACACTCAATGACTTTGTACCTTGATAAATACATTTATAATGATTGCAATGCTAATATTTATTGGCTATTTTCCTTGTGCCTGTCTAGTTTTTCTCACTTGGTCTAGCTAAAGACTTAAAGGGCAGGCACTGTTACTGATGGCATTTAACAGATCAAGAATCTGAAACCCAGAGAAGCAGGGACCCACTTGAGGCCACGTTGTTAGCCAGTTTCAGAGCAGGGGTCCATTTACTGAAGTCTGACATGAGGCCTTCTCACTTTCCCCATATCTGAAATGTTAGAGAAATCTGACCAGGTCAGCTGAAATTAGGCAAAAGGATTCTGTGCTTGGCTCAAAGTGTCTGACTGGGCTAACCAGTAGAAAACGCTTGAGTTTTGTTAGCCCATAGAGCTGGGGTACAGTATATTATAGTAATGGAGAAGACAGCAATTTTGAGAAATTGCACTAGGACATCTAGGCATTTGGGAATCTGAGTAGAATCTAAACTGGAATGAGTAACTTCTTTGTCAGCGTGGCTTCCAGTTGAGCCTCGTTTGACATTGCACCCAGCTGTTGTATGTATTGTTGGCAGAAGGTCTTCACAAGGAAACAAACTTTGTTGGTCCATAGCAACAATATCAGAAGCCCCCTCACAAAGAGCCCACTCTTCTAGGTCTCTGTGCCCAGTGCGTGTCTTAACACGTGCTGCCCATACAAAGGGCAAGTCCTATGTTACTTCCCCAATGACATGGCCACATTGAAGCCTTTAGGAAACGGTTTTGAAGCCTCCCAAATGTCTACCTCCCAGAAAGGCCAATGACACTCAGGTAAGTGCTTGTTATTGCTGGACCTAAGTACCCAGCAGACATTGGTTTTTCTCTTCTCTCCACAGCCTAGAGAAACCTTTGGACAACTATTCTGTGGCACATTAGATAATCTGGGAATCCTGTGTGTTGGTTTATATCGTCTGATAGAGGAAGAGGAACGGAACCCGGAAAACAAAAGGGGAGTATGCCAGTTTGGAAATTCACTCACGCAAGCACAGCAACCGGAATTACCTTATTCATTGTGAAAGAGAAGTCCGGAGCCTGGGGTACACAGTTGCAAGGAAGGGTACAAATGAAATTAATAATGATACAGGGTGTAAACAAGAACCCCAATGCCAAAGGCAGTAGAGTCTCTGTCCCCTGTGAAAACTGAAATGTAGACCTAGACTTTAAATCCAAATTCTTTTGTAACTTTCCCTTCATCCATGCCCGTGCAACCTTCTGAAGCTGAAAGCCACTGTCAACATCATTAGAAAGTCTTCCTTGCATTCTGCTGGATTTGTTGGACTTGGCTGGACCATGGGGTGCATTTTTTTCCTAGCCACTGCACTTTGTGCCTATAAATCATGTGAGTGATATGTGACAGCAGCGAGGAAGACAGAGGAAATGAAGAAGATGGTGGGAGGAGAAGAGAAGGGGCAGTCAAGAGACACACGGGTCCAAGCTAAGAATCTCACAGTGGAGATGGACAGCATTTAGCAGAAAAGGAGAAATTAAAATTGATAGAGTGGAAATGGACTGATGGAACTTGTTCCAGGAGAAAGGAGAAGGAAGCCAAATTACTCAAAGTGAAGTGGTCTTGAATAGGAGAAAAACACTTTTCTGCTCATAAAAGGAGACAAGGGTGCGAAGAAAAGATGCTAAGGTAGCTACGGCTCTAGGTGAGGGATGTGCTTGTGTGAGTATTTAGCACTAGGATTTCTCTGCACTTTGCCATTGCTCAGAAAGAGATGGAAGAAATATCACAAGGAGTTGAGAGAAAGCTAAAAGTTTAGATCAAGTGTTAAAAGGAGTGGAAGAGAAGGCTTACTGGGGATTTGTGAAGCAAGGCTAGACAGTAATGTGAAGGATCGAGGATTGGAAATCCTGATGAAGTTAAAGAGTTAGATGAACTCAGAGTAAGGCAACAAGAGAGGAAGAACATTGGGAAGCTGTGGTCAAAGAGTGATTGACTGGAGCTTAAGATGGTTGAGGCGGTACAGTGTCAGTAAATTTTGACATCCAGGACATGGCCAGGCAACCTGTTTGGGGATAAAGACCACTGGGTAGTTGACATAGAGACGTGTCTTGATGGTAGGGCCATAAACTGCAGAGATATTGCAGGTGCATAAGCTGACAGTGGCACTGGAGTCTGAAAGAACATGGACCCCAAGTTCCAAATTACCCAAATAAACATGGAGCCTATAAATGACACAGAAGAATCAGGAGGGAGTTTATGGCTTTACAGAACTCACCGTGAAGACAGTGGGGGAGAAGTGATGTTCTGGAAGCAACACCAGGAAGCATGAGTAATCAATATTCTCTCTCTCTCTCTCTCTCCATATTTATATATATATGTATGTATGTGTGTGTGTATATATATTATATATATATATATATTGCTATCCCTCTCACTCTCCATTTCTCTCTTGCTCTCTCTCCCTCTCTCCCTGAACTTTATACTCTGTCCTTTACCCCACTACCTCTGGAAAGCCTGCAGAACATGATCATTGGGAGAATATGCAATTTAAATGAGGGTACTTCAACAGGTTCGTGGAAAATATAATTTTAAAAAATAGATTTATTTTGGTACAACAATTTGGAAATCCATGCCTTTTTTTCCAAATACCCATCTTCCATGAGCTTTATTAAGACCTCTGATACATGAGAAGATCTCAGTAAAGTACCATTTCTGCTTTAAAGAGAATATGTGATTATAGTGAATCTTGTTTTTAATACAGTAGTTACAGAGGACAGAGTGGGCAAGACAAAAGTGGGTAGATTATTCAGCGTAGGAAGGTCAGTCTTGCACTGAGATCCATGTTTTAAAAAGAAGAGGTGGTCTCATGGGGCAGGAGTGAAGAAACACAGGGTGAAAATCATGCAAGATTAGTCTCTGCCAATGTTCTGAAATGGTCACTGGGGTGTTAATTAATTTAACTCACATGTATTGAGACTGTGCTGTATACCTATTATGTTAAGGCACCTGGTTTGTTTACATTCTTTCCATGCGGGTCCAATCCCTGGGTGTTATTTAAGATTCATTGACTTTCACTTCTGAAAGTGGTGGCAAAAAAAAAAAAAAAACTCTTCTTTATTGGTGAGGCTCCAATCTTTTTTTTTTTAAGATTTATTTATTTATTTGAAAATCAGAGTTACACAGAGAAAGAAGGAGAGGCAGAGAGAGAGATCTTCCATCCTCTGGTTTGCTCCCCAATTGGCCACAATGGCCAGAGCTGTGCAGATCTGAAGCCAGGAGCCAGAAACTTCTTTCAGATCTTCATGTGGGTTCAGGGGCCTAAGGACCTGGTCCATCTTCTACTGCTTCCCTAGGCCATAGCAGAGAGCTGGATCTGAAGTGGAGCAGCTGGGTCTCGAGCTGGCACCCGTATGGGATGCTGGCACTGCAGGTGGCAGCTTTACCCACTACGCCACAGCACCAGCCTGTAGCCTGCAAAGTTGGTGGCCTATGTATTAGGTGAGCTTACGGTTGAGCTAAGAATAGAATATCTAGAATACATGTAATCTTCCAGTTTGACAGAGCATGGCTAAGTGACCAATATTGTGCCCATTCAATTCATGAGTGTGTACTAAAAACAGGTACTGCAGTCTTATCCTGTCCTTCCATTACACCAATGAGGGCAGAAAGGCTCAAATAAGGGAGATGTCACAACTAGTGTCTGGATGCAGGCAGAGAGGAAAAGCAGCCTGCTAATTCCCGCTCTAGGGCCTCTCCTCACCCACGGTGCCAGAGAGATTCACTATTTATGGAGAACCCACAGGCGTTCCCTGTTTCAGCCCAGCAGAATGACCTCCTGGTGTTGCCAGCGCCTGTGGCCACCCAAGCCCAGCTTCAGCAGCTCACAGTTCATCTCTGGCTTTTCTTACAGGTTCGTGATTACCCGGCCAGCCAATGAGTTTAAGTTGCTACCCACAGACCTTGTGTTCTGTGCTATCCCTTTCAGCACAGCCTGTTATAAAAAGGACAGCAGTTCTTCAAGTGCCCCATATGAGATTACAAACATCATGCCAGTGACCTCGGAGACAAACATGGAGATAAGCTGTACCCCCACCGTCGACCTAGATTAGATGACAAGACATGGCACGATAATTGTTCTCACCAGACCATTTTTTGGAGCTGAAAACTTCTTCCTGTTGGGTTTAGTAGAAACAAAATATTCCGGAGAAAGGGCTAGCCCTCTGCATATTCAAAAATCCACAAATCGCCCTGCTGTACACATATTGACCAATCAGCTTAACTCTCAACTTCTCAGTATTTTAGAATAAAACTTATCCCACAAAACGATCTCATTTCCCATAAAGCAGAGCAATTTCAAGGAGAAATAATTTATTTTGCAGTAGAGGACTCGATATCAAAAGGCTTGCTAAATAAATGTTAAGGTATATGTAATGTTTAAGCATTCATATTGTCAGTTTTTACAAATAAAATTGGCAGAGTACCCCTAAACTCATGTGTCAAGCAATCCCATAATCCCAAAAGGAAACCCTTCATCTGCAGATGGAAGCCTTTTCAGAATTTATTTATTCAAGAAGCGGAGAGAGAGAGAGAGAGACAGACTGCCTGCCTGAGCTCCCATTCGTTGCTTCACTCTCCAAGTGCCCACAACAGCTGAGATTGCAAGCAGGAGCCTATAATTAAATATGGGCTTGTGGCTGAGAGGCCAAACTATTTGAACCATCACCTGCTGCCTCCAAAAGTGTGCATTAGCAGAAACTGGAATTGAGAGTGGAGCCAGGACTTGAACCTTGGCAACATCTTACTTATCATCTTACCTGCGAGGTCAAATGCTTACCACCATTCCACACAAGTCATCACACCAGATCCTTTGACAATGTGGTAGATACGTAGCTTATAATAATTGTTCATAGAAGAGCAAATTAGCTCACAATGTGTGGCCTAGTATTTGAGATGTTTTTTGATGCTTTCAAAACTGGGTGACAACTACAGATTCCATCCCAATAAAAATTCATATATGCATATATCCCATACTATTCATCATCTAAATTGGATAGAGGCCATGAGTCATCCTACAGTCTACAGTCATCTTCCCAAATACTTGCTATTAACTTAAAATAACCTTAAGCTGATCACAAAAAGAATGTAGGGTAGAGGAAGCAGGAGGCCTTGAGTACTTGCTTTGGATATCTCAATAAAGACTTTTTTACCTTGGGCAAGTTCTTCAATTTCTCTCAGCTACTTTCTTCATTCATTTTACTGTTTAAAAAAGAAGAAAGTTGAACTAAAATATTTTAAACATTAACTTCCATCTTCATTTGTTTTAAAGACCTTATTTGAGGCCGGCGCCACGGCTCAAAAGTCTAATGCTCCACCTGCAGCACTGGCACACCAGGTTCTAGTCCCTGTCAGGGCACTGGATTCTGTCCCGGTTGCCCCTCTTCCTGTCCACCCCTCTGCTGTGGCCCGGGAGGGCAGTAGAGGATGGCCCAAGTGCTTGGGCCCTGCACCCGCATGGGAGACCAGGAGAAGCACCTGGCTCCTGGCTTTGGATCTGTGCAGTGCGCTGGCCATAGCAGCCATTTGTGGGGTGAACCAATGGAAAAAGGAAGACCTTTCTCTGTCGCTCTCTCTCTCTCTCTCTCTCTCTCTCACTGTCCACTCTGCCTGTCAAAAAAAAAAAAGACCTTATTTGAAATGAAGACAAAGAAAGACAGAGAGAGAGAATTACTTTGGTCTTCATTTGTTCAACACACTGATTCATTACCTCTGTGTATCAGGCACTCTGCCGGAGGCGGAGCACAGACCAAGACAAAGTTGCTCTCCATGGAACAGGCTCTCTAAAGGGAGCCGGTAGAAGCACACAGGCCAGTGTGGGCAAAACCAGAGGTTGAGTTGCTGGAGGTGACATTGGAGAGAAAGGCAGGATCTGGTTAACAGTGACTCTTAGAGGCACAGGAAACATGCTACACATTATGCACAATGAGGAGCTCGTCAGCGATTTTAAATAATGGAGTGGAAGATGAGATCTCTACTTCCAAAACTCACTCTGGCAGTATGGTTTCCGCAGCAGGGTTAACAATCCAGATGGATTTCCTCCTGCTCCAGATGCTCAGAAATGTTAGGTACACCATGACAAAATAATGTGTGAACACAGAGCAGTTCATAAAAGAAAACGTCCAGCCAGAAGCAAGGGAGAAGTCCAGGGCAGAACAGGTGTCTGAGAGATGTACTTAGGGATATGCAGGGCTTGAGTCAGTGGTTGGACTTAGAAGTGACGGGAAGTGGATACAGACAGAGACCCTGCTGAACCATCAGCAGGGAAAAACCAGCCCAGCTGTGAAAGAGCAACAGACAGACTCCTGTCACGGGCCCAAGAAAGAAGCAAGAACAGTTATCTTTGCTCAGGAACCCGGGTCCGGAGGACACCTGCCATGAGCATCAGAAGCCCCCAAGTTCAGACTGTGTGTAGAAGTACTGCTCAGATGTGTGCCACATTGGCTGCAGCTGCAAACTGGAGCGGCAATGGTGGAAAGCTGGTTCTGAAGCAGGTGCACTCTGGAGGCGAGTGCTGGGAAGACACAGATAGCACTCAGCAGTAGCAGTTGTTATGTCTTGGGGCACACGGGACTCCATAAAGACAAAAGTGAGTTGGAAACTTTTTTTAAAAAATGGACAATAAGACCACAATAAAAAAGTTGGAAATGACATGAGGAAATAATCCTTCTAAGTGAAAGTGAGGAGACAAATCAAACAAGAGGTTAGCATGCCCCTGGTCTTCTGACACTAGAACAATCTGAAAAAGACCATAAAATTGATATGTTGAATGCAATGAAAATGGTTAAAAATATGATTAGAGGTCGTAACAAGAGTGTACAGTGAAAAAAATAAGCAGGCAGAGTAGAAACAGAATCAAAGCTTTCAAAAACAATCTAATTAAAAATTCAGTGTATGACTTAAGGAATAAATTACATTTGGATAAATCTGAAGAATTTATCTAAAATGAAAGGTGAAGAAATAAACAAATCGAAAACCTAAAAGTTGCATGAGAAAAGAATGAAAAAGTCCAATGTATAAAATATTCAATTTCCATAAGGAGATAAAAAAAGGAATATGAAAAAAATCTTTAAAAATTCAGAATTAATAAAGAGAAAGACTCCTGAGATTTAAAAGTCCAATGAGTCATCAGCAAGAAAATAAAAATAAATTTACATATGGACATGTTCATTGCCACACCTAGACAGAAAAGCAGATTTCTAATAAAACGATTATCACTGAGAAATCACGGAGAAAAAAGAAATAATGGGTCAATGAAACAAAAATGCTGAGGGAAACATAACAGAAGACATGAACATGGATACAGTATGGTATCCAAATTACATTCAAGAGGGAGGGCAAAATGAGGTCAGTTTTAGAACTATCTTTTGAGAGCAAAGCGTGAGAACGTATCATTTAGAGACCTTTACTGAAAAAACTAGTAAAGGATATACTTCAGTAGGAAAAGAATAACTTCAAAAGATGGGGAAATGTATAAGAAACAGTCATTAGAAAAGAACTGGAAAATATTATAAATAGATAGCAGTTGAATAATAGGAATAGTAATAATTTGTAAATTGTTAAAATATTAAAATTTGCATATTAAAAATAAATAATGAGGAATAGGACAGAAACATCATCAAATAAAATTATTCTAAGATTGTATACTTCAGGAGCACAGAAATGATGATTAACTTTAGCATTTTTAAAATCTATGATGAATATAAAAATTTTGGAGAATAAATTCCTAAGGAAAATGGAAGAATACATGACTTTAAAGTCAGTTTAGAGAAACTATTGAGCCATGAGACACAAAATTGGCATCCAAAAATATTGACCCAATTCATGAGAAGTCTGGATTTTTTTTAGAAAAGCAAACTAAAGAACAATATATAGAAAACGAGTTTTAAATGTAATTATAAATGCAAATATGTATTAAATAAAAATAAATGGTTCCATCCTATAAGGTAAAGGATAGAAATTTGGGGATTACACTTAAAAGCATTATATGCTGTTTATTGCAGAACATAAAGTGATTCAGAAAGTGTGAAACTGGAAATAAATATACTAGAAAAATATTTACCAAAAGAAGTGGCATTGTTAGTATCAGATAATATATCCTTTAAATTAAAAATCAATGCTGAGGAAAATTATTTAGTTAATAGTTATAATAATACTAATCTTCAACTAGCTAACAATGTAACCATTCTGAAGTGTACGGATCCAATATAACTTTAACAATCTCAAAAAGGAAATCTGACAAAATTACAAAGAGTAAAGGAGCAATTCACAATCAGAAGGAAGGATTTTTAACTCAGAAACTAGCAAACCAAGCAGGAAAAAATTAGTGCTACACAGAATAACATGAACTGCAGCTTCCTGATCTAGTGAAAGAGATGCACAGCTCCAGATAAGGACAGCCAGACCACGAATCCAACACATGGAAAATGCACGTTCTTTTCCAGCAGGTACACGATTCAGTTCCCAACACAGCCATCCTCAAAGCCAGTCCCCACGAATCAGTGATGCCATACAGTCCCACTACAGTGAAGTGAAAACTTAGCAGTGTATTTTGAAATAAACAGTAACAAAACTTAGTCAATCCTGTAAGGCCAATCTAAAATTTCATACACATATTACAAACGTGAGTTCTAATAAATCCACTCAAAATGAATTAGATATCTAAGGGCAAAACCTGACTTGAAAAGTCCTAGAAGAGAATTTAGGGAAAGAACATCAAGACATTGCACTGGGCAGTGATTTGTGGGTATGACACAGATCACAGGCCACAGAAGCAAAAACAGACAAATGGGACACCAAACATAAGAGCTGCTACACAGCAAATGAAGCAAACAGCAGAATGAAAATGCAATACACAGAATGTTAGAAAATGTTTGCAGTCTGTGTATCTGATAAAGGGTTAGTACCCAGAATAAATAAAGAACTCCTACAACTCAACAATAAAAAACCCAAACAATGCAATTTAAAACTAGCCAAAAAAAGATTTAATAGACATTTTCCAAAATGATACACAAATGGCCATTAAGCAAATGAAAAGGCAGCAAACTCAGCTAATCATCAAAGCAATGCAACTCCAAACCAAAAAATATCACCTCACACCCACAGGAATGGCCAGTCTCAGGGAGACAAAATGTCAAGCGTTGGTAGGGATGTGGGGGAATTGGCAGCCTTCTACATTTTCATTGGACTATAAAAAGGTGTAGCCACTAGGGAAAACAGTGTGCATTTACTGTCTTCAATTTTAAAAAATTAAAATAGGGAATCTTATCGAATGGTACAACATGAGTGACTCATGAGGACATTTTGCCCAAAAGACAAATGCTGCATAATTCGACATGTATAAGTTACCTAAAGCTGTCAAACTCTAAAACGCAGAGTGCAGTGGTAACTGCCTGTGGTTGGACACAAGGGTTTAAGGGGAGTTGTTGCATGGG